AGATAAACATCACAGGAAAATAAAATCAGATTTCATTGGCCTGATGTGTTACAGCAAAGCTGGTCGGTTCATGCCTGATTAGACATCATATGCAATAAGCCATGTAGGTTTCCCTCACCTGACAGACTGCTTGCTGTTACTATGTGGGTTTGGTGGCAGGATACACAGTCAGATCATTACCCTCCGTCTATGCTGGGGTATGGTTGAGTGGAAGGGTCAGACCCGGAGGGGCATAGGTGGGGCATGGGTAGCTAAAAGAACTACAACGGCACTTACACAAGCTACCATCTAAATTTGAAACAGTGACATGAAATCAGGTACACAAAATGTAAACAACACGTCTGTGGGGAAAATATTGAAAATAGCTCATCATGTGTTTTATCAACGTAATTATGATTATATACTCTTCAAAAGTGTTACAAACACCCAAAATTAGAAGTCTGTATGTTGCAAGAACCACCAACCATGACAGATTAACTATAGTGATATGAAAAGACGGATGTTCTTTAATTTCTTTTGAGTTGTATAATTAATACCGACTGCCTGGCCTTCATGCTATCTGACTACCCAAGTCCAAGGCTCTTAATGCAGAACAAGGCCCACAAAAAACATTACGTAGACAGGATTCCAAAATCCTTTTTATTCTTTCAGTGAAATATGAAAATAAATATACAGATACATGTATCTGTAGTATAATGTTGCAATTGAAAGTCCAAAATATGAGAAATTATGTAATACAAAATGAAGTCACAGTCAAGCAAACATAGTTATTTTTCATTTTTCTGATTAAACATTTCCAACACTGATCGACTTAAAAAAGTTAAAAATTTAGGCCAATAGTTATCCTTACAGAGAAGAAGTTCTTTATTAAATATGTCAGATGTGTAGATTTCAAACTTATATTTTTGAGAAAAAAAATTGTGAAGAAGAAGTCTATTGTAACTATGTATCATCATCATCATCAGCAGCAGCAGCAGCAGCACACATGACGGACATGGCTGAATCAACTACACCCAACAGCTTCTCTATATCTACACAGTATACAGCTCTCATTGTGAAGTACACACTTTCCCTTGCATGCACAATATTCAGATACACGTCTATAGAACTATTTCGCAAGTTGAATGGAGCATAATTGCCTTTAGCTCTAAACAAAAGTCTTTTTACGAAACATATTCTCATCCTTTAACGATTACAACACTTGATAAATAGGTAAAAACAATCAAATCATAACATCAAGGAGGCAAATAAACCCTAAGTGGTGATGAACCCCTTACCCAATTACTGAAACACACAAAAATTATAGAAACATATTCTTGCAGTTTCTTTCAGGATGATAAGGCACACTGGAATGCTCTTCTTACCTATGTGCAATGTTCATAGCATGTGAGTATAATGGTCTTTTGTGGACAGCAACTACAGACACTAATAGAGTCAGTTATCATACTGGGACAGACTAAGCTCTCTGTCAAACTGGATGTTATGTTTAACATGTACATATTATCATCAATGGTCACATTACACTCCATTCTTTTTTGTGTGTTGTTTTCTTATGGGAAACCAGTCATCCTGTTAAGTATCAAGTTCTCCCTGCCTACCCTCCTCCATGTCACTTGAATATTTCACTGTCAAACATTGTGAACAACTATCAAAGCTGTGAAAAAACTTTCTGAAATTTATTTGTCTGCAATTATGTGTATTTTCTCTCTTGGGAACTGGATTTAACAAAAGTGGTAATTGTTAGGTAGCATGTATTGTACACAGCCTTTCATTCACCCTGAGCCACGGGCATCATCGGGTTTCATCCTTTCCCTGACCGGGTTCAAGGGAGCATATCTCACACACAGATACCCCTCTCCCTTACACTATAATTATCCTTCCCTGTATCTTGATAATAAGTTAGCCAACACTTCCTCAATCAATAGCCTTCATTTATCAGGCCAGGAGGCCAGCCCCTCTTATTGTACAGTAATTAGGCAGATTAATCTCTGTCAGCACAGCTACAAACCAACCCACCAGAGGACAAGTTGAATCTCAAAACTAACAAGCACACACAAGTACCTAACTACAATTAAACATGTTTCTTGAAGACACACTCCTTTTAGTGCCAGCTAAGTACAAGCACAGTTTCTTACAAATGTCTCTGAGCATAACTGAAATATGATGGATTTGATATCCCTTTGTAATTCTGAACACATGTAGTTCATTTCAAGGCTTGCCACATAAATGTAACCTGAAATATAAAGTCTAAGCATAGGATTGGTAATAAAGATTTAACGAGAGTGGTAGATGTACCTTGTCACACAATATACAACAAGATTATAAGTACCCGATGCTCCTGGTATCTCCTGCAATAACAAGCCAAGCTTGCCCTATTATCTGTGGTCCAAACATGCACACATTTCTGTAGCCAGGTCTTCAAGAACACATTCACTTAAATCTAACCAATATCTGGTTCCTTCATGACTCATATTTCACAGTCACACAAGCAATGTTACAAAAATTCTTCATCATGTTCTCCTCTATTCCTCTTTTCGTTTTGTGGCTCTAAAACAAATAAATTCTTATTCAGACAATTTATTTTTGTGGCATTTATGCACATTTCATATTGTTTCTTGGGGACAGTGGGCATGAACTATATGCCTTCATTTGAAAGTACAAAGTATCTCAAAGTTAATTCTTCATTTGATATAAAAAGAAACTTTTGTTATCAATATCAGTCTTTGCCAATACCACCATTACGCTTGATGGAGCCCTCATGCATAACATGATGAACAAAAGGTACCACAGTAATCGTGTTGTAGCAGGTATAAAATATTTCCACTTCAGGACTCAGATAAGCTTCACCCTAGATGTACTGATGAATCAGTATGTATTGCAATATAACCAGTACAAAGAACACATGCAATGCTGATTTAAATGTTTTAAAAGTTGCAACTGCTAAAGCTGTCATGTTCAACCCCTCAGTGCTATGGTTAGTAATGTGTGTGTTTTGCTGCTGATGGAGGTAATGTGATTAATTAGACTAACGCTTAGTCTCTGAATATATATAATTTTGATAGAAACAAACCATTCCTTTTAATTTGAAAAGGAGCCCCAGTGAGAAGGGAGATTCAGAACCCTTGAACATGAAGAAATCTTGACTTACTTCATTCAGGGCTTTACCACTGCAGAAAGGGCAAGCAGAAGGGAAAATAAGGCAGTTCAGGGACTGTGAGACAGACTATGTGGATCGTGTGCATGTTTCTATGGATCCCCCTCAGCAAGGTAGGTGTTTATGGGTTCCTACACACTCATCACACAAGCATCCCTTCGAACACTTCACACCAGGATCCATGAAGCATGTCCACCATTGAGGCTGCAGATATATCCTGTTTGATATACACTTACATTATTCCATTTCTAACAATTTACATTATACATGGAGGGAAATGTTCACTATGGGGCATCATAATTCTGAGCCATCATAATGTGATCTGTCTATCAGACAAGAGAACATGATATGCCCAGAGTAAATGTCTGCCTACCAGTAATTGGCTATAGCAGGTCAATGGGCTGTGTCACATATGTTGCCATCCAGGCTTACTGCCTGGAACAGGACTTCCCACACACCAGCAGCAGGGCTGGAAGAACACCAACAACATGTACCACTTCTTGCCAAAACATGCCTCTACATGCTGCAGCCTAAATACAATTGCAATCACATGAAAACTACTGAATGACTTTTAAATGACAAAAGGCAGTCAGTAATGAATCCACAACATGTTTTGGTCAATAGTAATACATACACTACCGACCTGGCCAGTAAAGGCACTATGTCCTCTCCTAATGCCATTTGGACACAAAGATGACATGCCACCATGACACTGTGTCAGTTTGTCCTCCTCCTCAAGTGCAGTTCAGACACCATGAGGACATGCCAACATGGCACTGCGTCCTCCCCCTAGTGCAGTTCAGACACCACGAGGACATGCCAACATGGCACTGCGTCCTCCTCAAGTGCAGTTCAGACACCACGAGGACATGCCAACATGAGACTGCATCCTCCCCCTTGTGCAGTTCAGACACCACGAGGACATGCCAACATGGCACTGCGTCCTCCTCAAGTGCAGTTCAGAAACCACAAGGACATGCCAACGTGGCACTGCGTCCTCCCCCGAGTGCAGTTCAGACACCACGAGGACATGCCAACATGGCACTGCGTCCTCCTCAAGTGCAGTTCAGACACCACAAGGACATGCCAACATGAGACTGCATCTTCCCCCTTGTGCAGTTCAGACAAGAGGACATGCCAACGTGGCACTGCGTCCTCCCCCTAGTGCAGTTCAGACACCATGAGGACATGCCAATGTGGCACTGCGTCCTCCCCCTAGTGCAGTTCAGACACCATGAGGACATGCCAATGTGGCACTGCGTCCTCCCCCTAGTGCAGTTCAGACACCATGAGGACATGCCAACATGGCACTGCGTCCTCCCCCTTGTGCAGTTCAGACACCACGAGGACATGCCAACATGAGACTGCATCCTCCCCCTTGTGCAGTTCAGAGACCATGAGGACATGCCAACGTGGCACTGCGTCCTCCCCCGAGTGCAGTTCAGACACCACGAGGACATGCCAACATGGCACTGCGTCCTCCTCAAGTGCAGTTCAGACACCACGAGGACATGCCAACATGGCACTGCGTCCTCCTCAAGTGCAGTTCAGACACCACGAGGACATGCCAACATGAGACTGCATCCTCCCCCTTGTACAGTTCAGAGACCATGAGGACATGCCAACATGGCACTGCGTCCTCCCCCTAGTGCAGTTCAGACACCATGAGGACATGCCAATGTGGCACTGCGTCCTCCCCCTAGTGCAGTTCAGACACCATGAGGACATGCCAATGTGGCACTGCGTCCTCCCCCTAGTGCAGTTCAGACACCATGAGGACATGCCAACGTGAGACTGCGTCTTCCCCCAGTGCAGTTCTGATGCCAACAGGACAGCATGACACTACATCTGTATGTCCTTCCCAGTGCAGATGCCAGTATATAATCACTGGCAGCATATGTTCAATGACATGATAAACATGGTATGTATAAAAATCAAACATCCTATATTAGCTTGATAACTGAGTAAAGTGAGATTAAATGTATCCATTTCCTGTGTGCCTGCTAGGTACATACATGATAACAGTGACAGTCAGATAGTAAATTAACTAGATGCATGTTGTTTATCTTCCAGCTCAATGTGGGCTTCAGTGCAGCTGTATAGTGATATGCCATATCTCCGGGAAATATGAGGTACAGCTAATATCACCAGTACACAGTCGCAATAGGTAAACAGGTAAAGAGTATGTTTTTCTCTATAATCAACACTTTTTAGATTGCTAAAGCTGTTATTTGAAATGGAAAGAATTATCCCAGAGATAAGGATGGACTATACATATTATATCATTTCCAGATGCACAACCCATTGAAGATGCTGGACCAAGACTAATGATATTCAGGAACTACCAGTCAAATGTCCTTGTGAACTACATTTCCCTTTGTAGAAAGTACCACTGTAGCAGATCAATCTTGTGAACTAGTTGTAATCACTCATAACCTTGAAAGAGGATATGAATTCCATAATTCCATGTATGTTCTAAGGATTGAAATATTATTTGCATAGATTTTCACATTGTTTTCCATTCAGTTAAGTCAGAAGTTAACTAAATTTGGTTCGGTGAGGCATTCCTTTCAGATGTGTAGAGTAACTCCTGTAATTATAAATATTGAACATTGCGTGGAGTATTGCACCTCTCAGTGCAAATGGATTGTGAGACAAAGCAGTCCTGTTTTGCACGTAATGATGAATCTACAATAGTGAGTGAGTGAGTTCTAATTTATCGTCACATCAGCATTACTTAAGCCATATCGTGATGAGAACATTTTATGGTTATACACGGTAATTTATGGTAAATTATAAAAACCTGTCATCGAAGGACAGTAAAACCAACTAGAATATCACAATATCAAGAAATAAAACTAGCATATATCTCTAAAATAGGATTTCAGATTAGGACAATACAAATACAAAAACAAGAAGACAAAGTCATCAATATCCCCCGCAATGGCAAAATACTCTTCATGATTATGTCTACGAGTTATGATTATGTCAAATTTAGTGTGTTTAGAAAAGTGGAAGGTATATAGAAAGGTTTTAAAGTTCTGGAAGGAGCACTATCACCAATTTCAGTATTGAAAGGTTTACCAAAAAAGTTCTGCCAAGCTGAAGACACAGAAAGGAGCACTATCACCAATTTCAGGCTAAGTCAAACTTGTTGCCATGGAAATGCCAAAAATATTTTATTCAGAATTCCAAAACTACCAAAAGGCACAAGTACACTACCAGATCTATCTATGTGCCAAGTTTGGTGAAGAAATATTGAACGGTTTTAGAGTTCTGCTCCGGAAAAGAGCACTACCCCAATTTCAGGCCAAGTCGAACTTGTTGCCATGGAAATGCCAAAAATATTTTATTCAGAATTCCAAAACTACCAAAAGGCACCAGTACACCACCAAATCTATCTATGTGCCAAGTTTGGTGAAGAAACATTGAATGGTTCTAGAGTTATGCTCCAGAAAAGACAAATGTGCGGACGGACGGACGGACGCTCGGACGGAGTCCATTTTAATGGGATAAAAAGGCTGAGGATCGCCAACAACCGAAGGTAGACCACCACTCTAGGGACCGTGGGGACTTACAGTACTTTGGCTACCTGCATGGACCCAAGCTGGATTTATACCATCCCTTCAGCCATTGGAGATTGTACTGATAGTTAGCCATAATAAAACAACAAATATTCTACGATTAAAAAAGTGTGTAGATCTGAATAGACTTTGAAAGTTTTGGGACAAATCTACAATAGAACATGGTTACACAAAAAGAGATGTAATATAGACAATATTGACTATTTCCAGATTGTTTTACATTATATTATCATATACTTCATGCTAGTAAACAAATTAAAAGCTATTGTTGAAATTTTGGTATATGTTGATAATAGTAATAGAGAGTTGGGAGAGCCAAATCTGCTTCCCAAAATATGTCACAAAATCAGGCTGGACAAGTTTTGATCAGATATTACTCAAAATATACTTATTTGTGTTCATTTACGAATTAGGAGGTTGCACAATTAGTTAGAGGAAGTCGTATAAACTTATTTGCAAAATACCATTATACAATACATGCCATCATAGGACTTGTTGCCCTCCTCTCCACATCATCACAGGACCTGGCCTACATTAAGATGCCCAGAAAGCTGTTCTTCTTCTGACATGGGAGCTGTCCCACATTTGTAAGATATAAGCTGTGCAATGTCAGTCACATCATATTTCATTCTCAATAGTTTCCTCTTCTCTGTTCACTAAAGTGATGTCTCATTTAACTTTCCACTTTATGTTGCGGACTTAACTGGCATTCTTGGAGCATGTAACCGCTATAATGAGCGTGGTAATGACTCAGTCTCACTCAACTCAGGTAATTGGAACCAATCAAATGTAGGAAATTGGTCAAAATCTCAAACACATGGATCATATTAGATGTTGTTATCATGCTTCGTTAGGTCACAGTGCAGCTTTTCTGTTCACTTTCCCTCACATGAATAACTTATTTCTTTGGCGTAGGTATAACACTATGTGTTTTCTACAGCTGTGATTTCCGCATCTGAGCAGAGGACATGCAGCTGCTAGTCTAGCATATCATGACTAAAGCTGATTTCGTACTTCTTATTCTAAAAACATACTCTTATCTTTTTCTGCTGAAAGACTTTGAATGTAACAAGTTATGGGATTGGATGTTGAGACAGTAGCTATATCAGTTAGATAAATGAAACTCATCCCCGAGCGTTGTCACTGAATGGTTTTACAATATATATCTTCGCATGCTTCAGCTCCACCCTTGTTTTCGGTGTCTTAGGCTGTTTTTATGACAGAGATAACAATTATCCTAGTATATTTCCATCAATTCTGATTCAATTACCAATAGACAATGACAAGGACATGTTTATAAACACTTAAAGTAGGGCCTACCTCACCATTTATATTTGCACATTTAGCCACGAATGATTCAATCAGTCAAACTAACACTGAGTGTGCTAGATTCCTGCTGTAAGGGAGAGGGTGTGGAAAGTAGAAAAAGTAAAAAACATCTCATTTCATTTAGAACATCCAGTTCCTTGCATCACACCTACTTAATCACTAAACCATGTAATTATGTCATATTTTCTTCCTTATCAGTTTGCAAATTAAATAAGAAAGATATATTGCTAGGATAAGCGGACTACATTTGTCTTCCACATTCCAAGCAATAACACCAAAACTTCCACTTGTTCATCTTCATGAAGTAAATGCATCGAATCCGGTGTTTTGCAGATGTAGCAAGTCAATTAACACTTCCAACAAATGCCACATGTTATTCTATCTCACAGCATAAGATATCAATCCCAGAAAGATTTGACTGTTGTACATTTGGATAGTTTTATCATAACATAACATTTTTAAGGGAAATCTGTTTCCAATTTTATTGCCACCAGCTATCAAAAGCTAACATATTTGAAATGCCTAAACACCAACCTGTGAGAAGGCCTTCAGCTTCACATACTGCAAAATCACACAACAAATGGAAATATCTTTCATATGATCAAATAAATACATTTTAGTGCAACTGTATAGTTGGAGTTCTTCTCTTAATTTCATATATCTCAAAGCAAACTATCAAAAACAAATAATTACCAATCAGATGAGATTTTGATCTTGACTTGCCCAGCTTTTTGTGGACGCCACAGCTACACTTCTCCCTCTCAGACGGGAGCATCAACTCAGTACAAACTATTTCAAATTAGTTGGCAGTCAGATCATGCATTTAACACCAACTATATGGTGGGATGGTGAACAGTGACCAACAGTTAAGGTGAGAAGGTGAACAGTGACCAACAGTTAAGGTGTCATGATGAACAGTGACCAACAGTTAAGGTATGATGGTGAACAGTGACCAACAGTAAAGGTGGGATGGTGAACAGTGACCAACAGTTAAGGTGAGATGGTGGTGAACAGTGACCAACAGTTAAGGTGTGATGGTGAACAGTGACCAACAGTTAAAGGTGACAGTGAACAGTGACCAACAGGTGAGATGGTGAACAGTGACCAACAGTTAAGGTGAGATGGTGAACAGTGACCAACAGTGGTGAAAGGTGTGATGGTGAACAGTGACCAACAGTTAAGGGTGTGAGTGACCAACAGTGATGGTGAACAGTGACCAACAGTTAAGGTGTGAGATGGTGAACAGTGACCAACAGTTAAGGTGAGATGGTGAACAGTGACCAACAGTTAAGGTGTGAGATGGTGAACAGTGACCAACAGTTAAGGTGATGGTGATGGTGACCAACAGTGACCAACAGTTGTGAGATGGTGAAAGGTGAGATGGTGAACAGTGACCAACAGTTAAGGTGAGATGGTGAACAGTGACCAACAGTTAAGGTGAGATGGTGAACAGTGACCAACAGTTAAGGTGAGATGGTGAACAGTGACCAACAGTTAAGGTGAGATGGTGAACAGTGACCAACAGTTAAGGTGAGATGGTGAACAGTGACCAACAGTTAAAGGTGATGATGATGGTGAACAGTGACCACCAGTTAAAAGGTGACCAACATGAAATGTGAACAGTGACCAACAGATGGTGAAGTTAAGGGTGAACAGTGACCAACAGTTAAGGGTGAGATGGTGAACAGTGACCAACAGTTAAGGTGAGATGGTGACCAACAGTGACCAACAGTTAAGGTGTGATGGTGAACAGTGACAGTTAAGGTGAGATGGTGAACAGTGACCAACAGTTAAGGTGAGATGGTGAACAGTGACCAACAGTTAAGGTGAGATGGTGAACAGTGACCAACAGTTATGGTGTGATGGTGACCAACAGTTAAGGTGAGAGATGGTGAACAGTGACCAACAGTTAAGGTGAACCGTGATGGTGAATGGTGAAGTGACCAACAGTTAAGGTGAGATGGTGAACAGTGACCAACAGTTAAGGTGTGATGGTGAACAGTGACCAACAGTTAAGGTGAGATGGTGAACAGTGACCAACAGTTAAGGTGTGATGGTGAACAGTGACCAACAGTTAAGGTGAGATGGTGAACAGTGACCAACAGTTAAGGTGAGATGGTGAACAGTGACCAACAGTTAAGGTGAGATGGTGAACAGTGACCAACAGTTAAGGTGAGATGGTGAACAGTGACCAACAGTTAAAGGTGAGATGGTGAACCGTGACCAACAGTTAAGGTGTGATGGTGAACAGTGACCAACAGTTAAGGTGACATGGTGAACAGTGACCAACAGTTAAGGTGAGATGGTGAACAGTGACCAACAGTTAAAGGTGAGATGGTGAACCGTGACCAACAGGATGACATGGTGAACCATGACCAACAGTTAAGGTGAGATGGTGAACAGTGACCAACAGTTAAGGTGGATGGTGATGACCAACAGTTGAAGGTGTCATGATGAACAGTGACCAACAGTTAAGGTATGATGGTGAACAGTGACCAACAGTAAAGGTGGGATGGTGAACAGTGACCAACAGTTAAGGTGAGAAGGTGAACAGTGACCAACGGTTAAGGTGTGATGGTGAACCGTGACCAACAGTTAAGGTGAGATGGTGAACAGTGACCAACAGCTAAAAGTGAGATGGT